TGTACCGGACTCGTTGTCTGCTGAAGCTCAATGGTGACTCTGATATTTGTTCTCCTGTCAAATTAAATGGTTTAAAAACATGCAGCTGACAATCTGACCTCACACATTGGTTAAAGGAAGAATGTGCAACTTTTTCATCCAGTAGATGTCGCCCTTGAGCACCAGCATGAAACCAAAACAAACTGCTGTTTGACCACACCTCCTCCATACTGAAGCCTCCGCTCTCCTCCAGAGACACACCTCCAACCCCCCTCCCCTCACATTCAAACGAAGGAGTTATCAATAAGAACGCACCATATAGCGCAAGCAGCAGACAAACTTGTTCTTTGCTCCAGATACTACCCGTGTCCTGCATTGTTGTGTTAGCATGCTAATGTTAGCGCTCTTTAGTTAGCTCATAGCTTCACATTAGCTGTGTCCTGCATTGTTGTGTTAGCATGCTAATGTTAGCGCTCTTTAGTTAGCTCATAGCTTCACATTAGCCGTGTCCTGCATTGTTATGTTAGCATGCTAATGTTAGCGCTCTTTAGTTAGCTCGTAGCTTCACATTAGCTGTGTCCTGCATTGTTGTGTTAGCATACTAATGTTAGTGCTCTTTAGTTAGCTCGTAGCTTCACATTTCATGTAAACTGACACAGAATGAGCGTGATCTAAAAACTCTTACTAACATCCAAATAATCAGTGAGTATGTTCTTCTCTCTAGTTCTTGACTAAAACATCTTTTATACACAAGGGGAGGAGCCGGCCGTCCCGTCCATGTAAACACGGCTCTGACAACAACACAGCCAGTGGGACTCGAACTTCTCACTCATGACTCAGAGACACATTTACACAGGAAAGACTGGATTTATGATATATTTATGTGGAACATGTCTCACATTCTTCCTTTAATATGCCCATACACACAAAAATAATAATATACATTCAAGGTACATTCCTTTCAAACTGTAGCCCAATTATAATTTACTCTAAATGTACCCTAACAGCCCATTTCTTAGAGGCCTGGTCCCTTTACTAGCCTGGTGTTGCTTCATGTTTCGACAAATGAAGACGGGCTCAGTTAGAGGCTCTGGTGTATTTAGTGATGATGGGTCTGCGGGTCAATCCAAAGAAAATTGGCAGTTGGTCGTCGTCTCTCAACCCGAAGGTCGAGGGTTCGATCCCCAGCTGGGCAACATGTCCGATGTGTCCTTGGGCAAGACACTTAACCCCTAATTGCTCCCGCTGCTTCAGTGGTGGTGTGTGAATGTGTATGAATGGATGAGTTAATACTGATGGACTCTTTACTCAGCAGCCTCTACCATCAGTGTGTGAATGTGTAGGTGTGACCTGCAGTTTACAGAGTGCTTTAAGTAGTTAGAAGACTAGAACAGCGGTATACCATTTACAACCATTGTCACAATGATGAGAATATGGATAAACAAATTAAATTATCTTAAATCACTTATTTGATCTTGCTTTGAAAGACAGACTTTCTACAGTTTTCCAACCTGCATGATCGATAGAAGCAATAATTGATATCTGCCTTTATTTGTCAAAATATGCAGCAACACCAGGCTAGTAGAAGGGACTGTGAGAATAAGAAATGCTCCTCTTTCTGCTCAATTTGAAGAACTAGCTGATTCAAGCATGTTTCAGATCAGCTGACTCATTTAAATAAACAGAGGAATCATTATAACGTACACTCTCATTAAGTTAGTAGGGAAAGCTATTAAAGAACTAATCACATGATTAAAATCTCTTCGCCCTGCTCCACTAGAACAGCATTTGTGTCATTTGCATAAACAGAGTAAGCTCCCGTCAGGTGTCTTACCTTTCTTCACTGTCCCTGCACCTCACGTACACCTGTAGCACTTTGCTGAAGAGTTCCTCCATGATGCTTTAACACACTTTCTCGGGTAATAAAGTAATAAATCAAACTAAAGTGAGAATCCTGAGAAGCATCGGCTTTATCCAAACCAATCCTTCCGATTCTGAACTTTCATTCCTCGTCAGTTTTGATTTGGCGCTTTTCACCCGCCAACTGAATCGCCCTGGAAACGGAACATGAATTATCTCCCTCGGCCCTGATGTGTGACGTCATTGCAAACACACAGATACTGCTCACCGCCCCCTTCTGGCGCGGAGTGGAACTGCAAGTGTACCTTTGTAAAATGCCTTTATTGTCATTTCACATAGCAAACGAAATTGCTTCACTGAAACAAAAAGGTAAATTACATTAATCACACTCAGCCACACACAAAAATATTCCCGTTGACTAAACCACTGGCTTTATTTTTATTTATAAGGGTATTCTCACACTGTTTCCATCTTACCTACAGAGTTACATTCAAAAAAGTACTGGAAGCTTCCATCTTCACTCCCAGGATTTATACCTTAACTATCCCGTACTGAATCCCTCTCCTTGGAAGCGGTAAATCTTCAGGAGCTGGTTTCCTTGGTTAAGTGTTTTATGTCTAAAAAATAAAAATATGACCTGATTGACAGGCGGGCGCGATGGAACGGTTTGTCAGGAGGTTTAAAACCCGCCTCAGCGCCAGCTCTCAGCCTGTCATTAGGTTGACTGAAAGTTAGACTGAGAGGATTTCCAACATGGAGAGTGATGAGCCTCCAGTGCCCCCTGCAGAAACAGACGGGTGACATCACTCATCACATACTCCTCTTCCTCTTATTTCTCTCCTATTATTTTCTCTTCATTTTTCTTTGATGACTTTCATTGACAAACTTTGGTTTTCATGGCAATAATTAATGTGACTCTTAACAGGAAGAGTGAGTGATGTCAGATGGGGCCCCCTTAGAGAGGTGCACATTTTGAGCCACTGCTGTGGTTAAAAGTGTGTCAGCACACTGGGCCCCCCTTGCTGGACGGCAGCAAAGACAAAAGGTGATGGTCAGGCTGAGTTACATCCTTCATGATGCAGATGGCTCTGCATGCTCTGAAGCTGTCCTCCAGTGAGGGGAAGTCCGTCTGTGTTGATGACTGGTAATGACAGGAAGTCTGTCAGTGTTGATGACTGGTAATGACAGGAAGTCTGTCTGTGTTGATGACTGGTAATGACAGGAAGTCAGTCTGTGTTGATGACTGGTAATGACAGAAAGTCTGTCTGTGTTGATGACTGGTAATGACAGGAAGTTCGTCTGTGTTGATGACTGGTAATGATAGGAAGTCTGTCTGTGTTGATGACTGGTAATGACAGGGAGTTTGTCTGTGTTGATGACTGGTAATGACAGGAAGTCAGTCTGTTCTGTGTTGATGACCGGTAATGACAGGAAGTCAGTCTGTGTTGATGACTGGTAATGACAGGAAGTCAGTCTGTGTTGATGACTGGTAATGACAGGCAGTCTGTCTGTGTTGATGACTGGTAATGACAGGAAGTCAGTCTGTGTTGATGACTGGTAATGACAGGAAGTTCGTCTGTGTTGATGACTGGTAATGATAGGAAGTCTGTCTGTGTTGATGACTGGTAATGACAGGGAGTTTGTCTGTGTTGATGACTGGTAATGACAGGAAGTCAGTCTGTTCTGTGTTGATGACTGGTAATGACAGGAAGTCTGTCTGTGTTGATGACTGGTAATGACAGGAAGTCAGTCTGTTCTATGTTGATGACTGGTAATGACAGGAAGTCTGTCTGTGTTGATGACTGGTAATGACAGGAAGTCCGTCTGTGTTGATGACCGGTAATGACAGGAAGTCTGTCTGTGTTGATGACTGGTAATGACAGGAAGTCAGTCTGTTCTGTGTTGATGACTGGTAATGACAGGAAGTCCGTCTGTGTTGATGACTGGTAATGACAGGAAGTCCGTCTGTTCTGTGTTGATGACTGGTAATGACAGGAGGTCCATCTGTGATGATGACTGGTAATGACAGGAAGTCCATCTGTGTTGATGACTGGTAATGACAGGAAGTCTGTCTGTGTTGATGACTGGTAATGACAGGAAGTCAGTCTGTTCTGTGTTGATGACTGGTAATGACAGGAAGTCTGTCTGTGTTGATGACTGGTAATGTCAGGAAGTCCGTCTGTGTTGATGACTGGTAATGACAGGAAGTCCGTCTGTTCTGTGTTGATGACTGGTAATGACAGGAAGTCTGTCTGTGTTGATGACTGGTAATGACAGGAAGTCCGTCTGTTCTGTGTTGATGACTGGTAATGACAGGAAGTCAGTCTGTTCTGTGTTGATGACTGGTAATGACAGGAAGTCAGTCTGACATTCATCAGTGATCACACATTGGAATTCTTTGAATAGCTCACCCACGTCTAGATGTCAGGCTATACACATATTATTGATCTGGTTCTTCAGATAAATAAAAAAAACTAAATGTTGTTGTTTTTTTTTTTTCTCAGTCTGCAACATGGCGTTATCAGCAAAGGCCTTCGATTACCAAAGAAACGCATGCAGACGCTTCTTACAGTAAACGCTAATACAGTGTTTGTACCTCGCGGAACAGATACGATTGTCAAGAAAACTTTCAGAGTTTCAAACTTCTGCTGTTATTTCATAATATCAGAATCAGACAGACTTTATTAAATTCAGTACAATCTGCCTCATTTAGAAACCTTCCCACTCCCAGGAAGTCTTGATGACTGGTAATGACAGGAGGTCCATCTGTGTTGATGACTGGTAATGACAGGAAGTCCGTCTGTGTTGATGACTGGTAATGACAGGAAGTCTGTCTGTGTTGATGACTGGTAATGACAGGAAGTCAGTCTGTTCTGTGTTGATGACTGGTAATGACAGGAAGTCTGTCTGTGTCGATGACTGGTAATGACAGGAAGTCCGTCTGTGTTGATGACTGGTAATGACAGGAAGTCTGTCTGTGTTGATGACTGGTAATGACAGGAAGTCCGTCTGTTCTGTGTTGATGACTGGTAATGACAGGAAGTCAGTCTGTTCTGTGTTGATGACTGGTAATGACAGGTGTCCCACTCCTGTATGAGTCAGGTCTTTATGGCCTTCATATGAACAGATATGAAGAAATAAAAACAAACAAGAGCTCTGGGTGGAGTTGTGGTATAGCTTGTTTATTAATGGTATATTTTTGCATAGGGAAACATACTCATTTCCAGTAATGAATGTACCAGCAGCTGCTGATAGTAATGGCTAAATATGGTTAAAACGACATATTATCAAAGATGTTAATATCCCCCACAGCAGATGAACAACATTAAGGCAGAAACACTCATTCAGACATCTCAAACGATGAGACATTCAAACAGGAACAGGAAGTCCACTTCAGAATCCAACAGCTCAACCCATGACGTCAGCGTATAGACCAAACTATGCAACATGTTGACATGATCTCTGTCCCTGTCTAAGTGCAACACTTGAGAAATAGTTAACATCATGCAAAGAAAGGCTGATTATTGAGATCTGTTTCAGCTGAAAAACATCCAAAAGAAAAAAGTACATCAAGCTCTTTGCTAAGCTGCTACAAACTACATCCAGCCCAGAGCTCCAGCCCTTTGCACAGTGAACACCTCAGGCCAAAGATCATCTGGAGCATCATATACATGAAGCACAACTTGATTCTAGCTCCCTGATATATGGATAACAGGTTGTGCAGTATGTTGTGTCCTATACCTTTAAACAGATGTTTCTAAAAGGCTTTCTGTAGAAAATGACAAAGGTATGATGTTTCAGTTAGAAATTAATGAACTGATTCAGGGTTGTAATCCCATTCCTAAAAGATCGATGTAATGTGCTGATGAACACTGAGAGTGAAAAGGGCTGAGGTCTGTGTGGATCGTAGTCATGCAATAACTGTCGACAGCTGCTCATGCCTAAGCTCTCTCTGATGTAAGGGATATATATTCAGAAGCAAGCAAAGCAATCCTTAACAATAATATCTGAAAGGTTATGGCAAAAAATCTTCAAAACATGAGACTGCATTCAAATGTTGTCTGAGAGACACCTCTCTCTCGTTCAAATTGTCCTCAGCACTAATAAGTACCCACAGAGACAGACTGGAATCAATATGGCGTCACCGTCACAGGAAAGAACTACAAAATCAGACGTAGGTCGCTAAGAAAAGATTTCAAACTGCGGTGAGTTACAGGGCCATAAAAGAAAACAGAATCCAAGTTACGGCGCACAAAAAAACCCTATTGGAGTCACAACAGTCAGGCAACAGAAGAGAGTTGAAGAACATGAAAAGTTTTTTAGAAAAGAGCCCTCTTAAAAAACCTTCTGGGGTAAACTCGCCTGTATACCCCTTAGTGTTCAGCTCAAGTTATGACCTGACCGACTGCAGCTCTCCAGTCGTACCACAGAGAAAAGGAAAATCTAGATGGAAACTTTACACCAAAACCAACCCAATAAATAACATCATCTGAAAAGAGAGCACATTTTAAATCCAAACATTAACATTTACAGACGTGGACAAGTATTTCGCTGCATATTTCCACAAAAGTGAGAAAGGTTTGAAATTTATTTCAACCTTTGATCATGTTAGGAAGCTTCAAATGAACTCTGAATCAGTGTTGTTATGTTAAAGTGCACTCTCCAAATAGATGTGTGGTAGAAACATTGAACCATAAAATATACAAAATAAAAGGATTTGATCCATCCCACCTGGTCAGACCCTAACGTCTGCTCTGACAGAAACCTATGAGGTCAGTGGGCTGAAAGGAACAGCTGATGTTGATCTGTAAGGATGTGATCAGGACTGCTGTTACTGCTTTGTGGTAAAATTTCACAATATGGTGGACATGTAGTAAAGAGGTATCATTCTCTGGATAGAATGAAAAACATGTCGTCCTGTCTTTCTCCCTTCAACCTCTAAAGTAGGAAAAACACAGCTGTAATCCCTGAATATAATCTCACCTCACTTTCTCCCCTCAACAAACACAAAGGTTCACCGTGTTCCTCTAGATTTTCTTTTACTCTTTGGGTTGTTTTTTTTTTTTTTATGGCTTGTCATGTTCACCTTCCCAGCTCATCTCGACCATGTGCTGGTGATGTGAACAATACTGAGCACCGGTCCCGGGCTGAGGGGAGTCACAAGCACCACCAAGTTGTGTTTGTAAAGCCCAGCGTGCAAAAGAACTCTATAGAAAGGAGCAGTGAACTCATAGGCAATGCTTGTTGAAGTCATTTTTGGTTGTTTCTTTAAGTCTCCGTGTTGTTGACCTGCTGGTTTATTTGAACGCTTGAATACTGTAGATCAGTGTGATAGTAAATCTTAAAATTAGCAACTTGATCTCATTCTGACTTCTCTTAAAGGTGGTACTTCCAGACAACGTGTTAGAAGACTTCTGTGCTTTGAATGGTAACTGGGACGCCATGGGAAACTGTATGATGTTTGAAATGGAGACCTGGGCAGCCAGCGCTCAATCTGCTTCACTTTGTTGAACACTGCACAAGCTTCAGCAGAGGCAGGGCAGCTGTCAATCATTCAGAGCACATTCCTCCAATCGGCTGGATGATTGACGTGTCAGAGAGCTACTTGGTTTTCTTAATGATGAAGAAAGAGTAGGGAGTAATACAGATGAAGAGAATTCCCACTGCATTATATATTTATCAGAGACTCAGACCTTTCTGTAGAGCTCAGAGCCATCCACCCAAATTGGGAAAACACATCCATTAAACCATCTTCATTTAAATAGTGCAAGTGTCATTAGTACAGGTCAAGATTAAGAATTTAAAAGATGTTTTCTCTTCTGCTCGTCAATATGAAGCAATAGAAAGGACAATGTGTACAGTAATGCTGGTCACAAGGTCAGAGCAGTACTCTGGATCCACTCCATCAACACACACCAGCCCTGTTTACACCAAGCGGTCCGCTTCAGTTCAGTACGTCTAAAGTTGGGAATGGTACCAAAATAAGAGATTGATGTGTTGCTTTGTTTTGAACTGGTGGAGCACCTTGGTACTGCCAGAGGACCCTCTCTCTCTCTCTCTGTTTTGGTCGTTTCATATCCAGTCTGAGCCTTCAGGTGTTTTGAACTGTAGCTAACACTTTTGGGACGGTAAGATATCACATAGATGTGTAAATAACTGCTCCTCTATATAAGCTGTCTGTTATTAGAATGTCAAATTTAGAGGACTGTAATGCCTGAAGGTACGTACCAGGTTTGGAAATTTACCTTTACGCCTACCTGCCACATTTCAACATGCAGCATAATGCAATGACTCATAATATCAAATCAAGTAATGGGCTGTTTAATGAAGGGAAATGTTTCAATCAGAAAACAGTGACATGATCTTTGTTTATTTTTGTTGATTATTTGGAAGAGTCATGTCCTCAAATGTTAAATTAGCTTATTGAGCTGCAAATGAAGCTCGACTGAGAGGCACCATTATCAATTTGTTGTTTTAAAAGCATGCGTTTTAAATCTCTCTGTTACGTTACTTTGACTGGTAAATTGAACAAATTCACTCATCACCCGCTGAATGCAGGTGATTTACTGCAGTGACGGGTGTTCATTTCCAGCCCTGGTAGGTTACTTATCTTCACCTTCAGGATTGTGTTTCTCTCTCCCACTACCATTTCCCTCACATTGCTGAACTTTAAACAAGCACACTGGTATTATTCCCATTTAATGGGCTACATTTCTCTGACGCTTGTCCATCTTCTTAAAACAAACACACAAACACATTCTGACTTTAGAAGTCCATCTTGTACATGTTTCTTTAAAGTGTACTAAAAGCAACCAGATAATTACTCAAGAACATAATACAAAACAATAAGATTAAAGCATGCATATCAAATGAACTCTAAATATGGCCTCTTGTGATGTCATATGATTGGTCATGTGGTCATGGTCATCATACGAGCAAATGGACGGTGTTTTAACAGCCAATCAAAGAGCTGCTGAACCTCACACACCTACATGATTCTATGACATGGCTAATGCTCGATCAAATATTACCAATAAAACAAATGTGCTAAAGTGCTGTGCTCATGGTGGATTCATGTCGGCTCTGTAATCTAACAAAGAGTCATCAGATCACATTTGTTGTGAATTGGTGCTATAGAAATAAAGATCGATTGATTGAAATGAACTTTCCTGCTGTAAATACTCAGTGGCTGTTCTAGACTCCATTAGGACCCCAGGGGCCCCTCTCACCATCATATCTGCCAGTGTCCACATGCCTACTCCTCTGCTTTCTCTCCCAGACTGATAACTCCTCTTCAGTTTCCTTTCATTGACAAACTTTGGTTTTCACAGAAACAAAGCATGCAACACTTTGCAGAGCAAGGAGAGGGAGTGCTGTAAGATGGGGCCCCCTTTAGGGAGGTCTCCTACTGTCAATGCAACATTTTGCACATTTTAAACCTTTGCTGTAAAGTTTGTCAGCCCACAGGGGGGGCCCTATTGGCCTGGGGCCCCTGTTGGCCTGGGGCCCCTATTGGGTGGGGCCCCGGGCAGCTGCCTTGCCTGTTGATAAGCAGCGCCTCTGTAAATACTCTGAAATGACTTTGCATGTGTTTAACACTTGTTCTGAAAGCAGGACGTAGAGCGAGCCGAGCGGACACTCTGAGGATGTTTTGGGGTTTTATTCTGAACATTTAGGACTTTTGGATACAAAATAACCAAACTTTAACCAAACTTTAACCAAACGCTAAGTTACAGTATCATTTACAATACATGGAAGTCCGGAGACAAACATCAGGGTTATTAACACTGTTATCCACACACCTCAAAGCAAACCCTTCAGCTCATGAAGAAGAGCCACTGAAGATCTCTGAGTGCAAACACCTCATTATACTGAATGATGCCGTTTAACATCCAAACATCAAGAAACAAGCCAACGATGAGGGAAGTGCTTCTCTTTTCTGTGCAGAATAAAACAACAACACACGGTATTCATGTGTACAGTTCATAGTTTGAGCACTACATCTATCTCCACGTCTGAACATGTTTTCTATATTATTTTTATTGAAATGATCCCAATGAGTGTTAAAGTGTCAGATCATCTCCACAGCAGGAGGTTATGAATAACCTCACTCTTACATACTCTTACTCTTAAGTCTGGATGACACACAAAGCGCCTCAGCGACTGCTTGAATGTTTCAGATGGGGATAAAGGCCAGAGGAAAAGTAAATAAGTGAAAGCGTTATATTCAGCAAACTGTCAGAGTGTTTCTCGTGTTCTGCCTTCAGTCAGTGGACTGACACTAAAGCCAGTTTCCCAGCTGGCAGCTCACTCACTTAACTATGTACCTACTCTGGTTAATGCCAAGCAATCACACATGCAGCTTTTTTTGATTAGTTTTATCTGGTTTGAAGCTTTCAGCTGTACCATGAAAACATGATGACTGTTCTATACTGTATAATTGTTCTTTAACTAAAGGCAAGGCACATAATGTGTTTCATGAAATATCGTGCAAAATAGAAGTTTATCAACAGGGCTATTATTAAAATGTAAAGAAATAGACAACCCTTCCATCTACTACCCTCTGATGGAGTACAGAGTACAGAGGGAGGAAGGGGAGGAGGAGGAAGAGCAGGAAAGAGAGGAAGAGGTATCGTCAGTTTTTAGCCATGCATTCATTAGGTCAGCACAGCGACCAGGGCAGCACCATGCAGTATACATCAGCTTTAAGCTAACTTTAACAAAGCTTTACACCTCAGCAAACCCAGCTCAATTCAGCACCTTCAGTACAAAATCTGAACCCACAGTAGGCAATGACAGCTGTATCCCCTAAAAGCCTGGAAACAAAGAGTAGAAGACTGACACCAAGAAGCATCTGTACAGCACACAGCGTAAAGAGGAACACAGGTGCTAATGCTAAAGGACGTAAAAGCACATGATGCAAGTTTAAAATAATCCACACAAGAAATATTCCATAGCTGTTTCACTTTCAAATGTAAAACACAAAAAGACGACCGAGAAAACACTGATAGAAAAATTCAGACTGAATTGGATTTCCTTCTGAATTCCCGATCTTAGCTGTGGTAGTAAAAATCACTCATCCGTTCTCCACGCACATGGCTGAGCTGGTAAGCTGGTACATTGTACTGGGTGTTTGGGTAGCCCATTTCAGACCTCACTGAGTCCTCTCATGAGACTCTATGAACATGAAGGGTAAAGACAAACTGTGATCTTTTTCTGCAGCCTGCTGCATCTTCAGAAGGAAATCTGAGAGATGTCTGATTTAAAACAGGGAAGAGTTAAACTAATGTAAGAATTCAGCATTTTCATTGGCCATGCCACGCTGCTTCATTCCTGGTTACTGGCTTTGCATATTAGAGAGCATGGCTTTAATCTGATTCATTGATATTGGCTCCTACTATACTTTATTCTTCCAGGCAGAGAGGAGAAATGACTCCCATGATGAAGAAAAAAAAACACCTTTGACTTTCACCCTTCTGTTTGCACGGGGAACAAATCAACGAAGCAGTTCTGCAGACTTAAACCAGTTCAATAATGCCAAATGTGCTTTCTCATCTCACCTCAACACAGAAATATGCAAACGCTTCAGAACATTGAGGATGAAGAAATGCACACCCAGTCGTTTCATGTTTGAAGAGATGTTTCACAAACATTGAAAGGCCAAGAAGCAAAGGCTTTTACTACTGTTGCATTTGGAGTTTGATTTGAACTTCACATTAATGTGGAAGTTTTAATCATCCTGACATCTTCACATTCATTGAGTTTCACTTTGAGATCTACTAACTCCCAGAATGTGATCATATGGCTTTTGACATGTTGCCATCTCTGCAGATGAAAATTCAGATTTGGACTGGATCAAATGCTTAACTTGGGGGTGGCTGTGGCTCAGGAGGTAGAGTGGGTCACCTCTTAACCAAAGGGTCAATGGTTCAATCCCCAGCTCCTGCAGCTACACATCTGATAGAAACAAGACACTTAACCCCAAGTTGCTCCTGCTGCTACTTTGAGTAGTCAGAAGAAAAGTCCATTTACCATTTAACTTGTCTCATGTTAAGCTTCAAATCAAAGTGAAAATGCAACATGTAGGATTTAAAAAATATTTTTTTCTTTTCTTTTTCTTTTCTTTGGCTCCAAAAATCACTTTTTATACACGACATTGTGTTTGTTGGGCCTTACAAAAATATCTTTAAATGCTCGACTTCTTGCTTGTTGTCAGCGGTGAACCATCAACAACCCTTTAGGTCAGCACTGTGGATATCCTTCTGTTTCCTGTATCTGTCCCCAGCTGCCTGATCCCCCCCCCCCCGTTCCTCTACAGACTCTAGAGGGGGGGTTGAGCTACACGGTGCAGAACCTTACAGAACACCGTCAAATCAGTATTCACATCACCTACTATCAGAAATCAACAACTTCAAGAAAAAGAACAACACAGCCTGCCAGCTGACAAGCTGCATCACTTTCTCACTTTAAGCATCAAGTGCAACATCTCTCTTTCTACATCCCTGATATAAAGTCAAAACCTTCAACAACAAACAATCTCCTCACAACGTCTCCTCCAAATAAAGCAGGGATGATATACATTCTCACACACACACACACACACACACACACACACACACACACACACACACACACACACACACACACACACACACACACACACACACACACACACACACACACACACACACACACACACACACACACACACAGCTCAACAGCTCCTCGGTGCTGCTGGCTGCAGGTTTCCATGTGTCTTTGCCTTCTCTCAGATCAACTGAGTGTTTCTATGTCTCTGCGTTACAAACTGAATGGTATCTGAAGGGAGAAGTCAGTCTCCTCTGCCTTCCTGATACCACTGGACCTGTTCTCACTGAAGTGAAGCATTGTCCCAGGAGGAGACATGAGTATAGCTCTTATATTCTACACAGTATTCTCATAAAAAGGAAACAGCCCTAAGAAGACGAGCAGAGCGAAATGATGATGGATGATTGTCACTAAAAAGAAGAAGCCCCTGTCATTAAAGAGAAGACCAAAAATAATATGTTGCTCTAACCCTCAATTCTTTTCAACAACGTATCAAAAGGTGCAAAGAAAAACAAGATAATAATAGGAGGATATCTCTCTCTAGTCAGTCCGGAAGAAAGGGAGGCTTATTTGCATATATTATAAGCAGCACCTGCAGCGGAGAGGGGCATTCTGGGTGTTGAGGGGGGGTGAGGTCTACACCTGTCCCAGGAAGGAGGTCTAGATGTAGTAAAGAGACCCAGGGTGCAGGAATAACAGGCCTCATCCTGGGGTCAGGGTCCAGGCTTCTTAAGATCTGTAGACTTCTGGTTCTGCAGTTCATCTGAACAAAACAGAAATCTGCATCGCTTCAAAATTCCAGCTCACGTCACTCGCCATTCTTGAGAGCCATTCAGCGTCACATGGCGTAGTTCATTCTGGGATATGGCTGAGAGGAAGCAGCATCCATCCAGGCTGGCTCATCTTCTTAGTGCATACACACACATAAACATATGACTCTGTATATTTAGATGTGTGTATGGCCACGTGTCAGGCTTCTATAAAGCTGAATATATTTTCCCTCTGGCCATGTCTTGACAGTATTGTTTCCTTTCCTCCAGCACTGAAATGTCATGGTGATCACCTTTCCTCCAGAGGTCACTCAGTTCCCCAGATACCAGGACTGGAACAGAGACACACACGAGAGAGGGGGTTAAAATCTCACAGCTCATGATGAGTCATTAACATGTGGAGTCTGATTTTTAAATTTCAGAAACAACGCCTCATGGTTCAATGAAAACATTTATTGCCCCTATGGGAATTTACAGGAGAGCACATCAAACCCCACTAAAGTGTCACAGGACTGAATGAGGGATTTCAGGAGTTAAATAAAGGTCAGAGGTCATCCTGTATAATCAGAGCTGATTAAGAAGATGAATGATGTGTGGTACAAACACATGGCCTCTTTTATGTGGCCTCTTTTAGTCCTCATTCTGGTCCTTCTGTACCTGCACCCTGAAGAGTTCATACTCAGACCAAAGGGGGGTGCAGAGGGTCTGCTGTGGTCTTGTTGGATAAATTCAATGTGTACCGTCTGTCAGGTTAGAAATGCTGCTTCCCATTTATCTTGCAGCCTAGTTTAACAACCTCGTCCAGTTTGTTCTTATTTTGTACGGACAATGCTCCTCCCCAAAACTGAAAGGTCAGCACACTTTGAATTAAACTCAGCATGGTGCTGTCCACACAAAAAGTGTCCTCACAACATGGAGGCGCTAATGAAGCTTTGAAAACTGCAGTTCGATATGGTTCAGATTTGTTAAACTACAGATTGTGTATTTTTGGTCTGACAGACAGACAGACAGACAGACACAGACAGATAGACAGACAGACAGACAGACACACAGACAGACAGATAGACAGATACACAGATACACAGACAGACACACAGACAGACAGACAGACACACAGACAGACAGACAGACAGACAGACAGACAGACAGACAGACAGACACACAGACAGACACACAGACAGACACACAGACACACAGACAGACACACAGACAGACATACAGACAGACACACAGACACACAGACATGCTTTGCTGAGCTTGTGGAGAAAATAAAGTGTTTATCTCTTTGCTGATTTTTTTTTGCTGCGTGCGCAGCAGTTTCTGATGAAAAGTCTCATCATAGGACCCCCTTTGAAAATGAGACGATACATCTCTATCCTACTGAATACACTCAATTCAAAATTCAATTCATGGTTTCCTTCAACCAACATTTCACTTGCCAGGAATCTTTGCAGTGGAACTTGTATTTCAAAAGCCTGAATCCTGAATCTCCTTTCCGCCCCCTGGTGGCAGCAGACATGTGACTACATAACAATCATTGATGTTGTCACTGATTGTCTCCTTTGTCTTTGTAGTTCATAGAGAGGCTCTTTTTAATTTACAGTAAAACAACATGACTCCTCACTGGAGCTAACCTTCAGTGTACTCTGCTTCATCAGTTTGCATTTAAACACGTTCCTATAAATAAACTTTCATGAATATCCCTAACAACCTTGTTGTCATGACAAACCACTTGAAATTATCTCTCCATGTACTCTGACAAACTAGAAACAGACTCTACATAAGGCTTCAGTCACATGAACCATACTGACCTGGGTTTGGTAGAGTCCACCCGGGTCTCGAGAAGTGACTCCAACGAAGGAGGTACGGTTGGCAGGGGGGGTACCAGGGGCCGAGTATGCTGAGGATGTTGGTTTTAACAACATCAGTCACATGTCTATGATAGTTGTAAAGTTGCATTATGCTTCACCTTCACAAAACCTCCAAATATCAAAAGAACTCCAAAATGAAAAAAGTCCCTGAGTCACCTCCTATGTTCAAACTGTCTGTAAGGCGCCGTGTCCACCTGGCGTTTTTTCAGGGCAGACAAGTGCTGGCTTACGCTGTTTGCATGCCCGTCCGTCCTGTCTCCATGACAACAGTCTGCTGACAACAACTGCTGTATATGGCCGACACTGCTCCGTTACTTTTTACTGCATGTTTTATATTTGAGGTCGTTTATTTCCCAATCAGACACGGAGCAAAGAGGATGTGAGTACAAGACATGACCTGTAGGCGGAAAAACTACAGAGAATATCAAACATTTGGAAAAGAACGCCGGTGACGTCAAGAGTGGCCTTCCTGAAAAGTTGAAAGATTTTCAACTCCAGCGCTCGGAGTGGTCGCACAAAAACGAGAGAGTGCTCAGATGAAAGGAGGCTGGGCGCTCTGCAGGCGGCCGCTGTCTGCTGAGAACACTCTCTACTCAAACAAGTGAAAAAAAGGCTAGGTGGACACGGGGCCTATGATCACTAAGTTCACTTCACACTTGAACCTAATCTTTTCTCATTTTGCATAGAGGTCCATCTGATAGAAGCAGACGAGCCTCTGAACAGAGTGGTCTGTGTGTCACAGCTTTTAGAAACACAATAAAGAGATGGAGGAATGAAAAGCTCTTCATGTATGAATCTGTTGTCTGTCTCACTCTGTATCTCTAAAGGTTGCCACTAATAAATGCATTTCGAGATAAGTTCTTAGTGGCTTGTATTGACAATACAGTTGTTATTAAGATAATGGGATTATTTTGAACTGATTTATAGGAAAGAGCTTATTCCATTCATAAATTCATCATTATCAAAATAAGTGTTATCTTTAAATCACATACTTGGTGATGTGGGGGAATGTGCCCCCCCATCAGAGGAGGTGGTAGAGGCCTTTGACTCTGCAGGCAGCGTCGGCCGAGGGAGGGAGGATGGAGGCGGAGCCAGGGAGGATGCTGTTCCAGGGGGCGCCAACATCTGAGAGGAGATGTAGTGACTGGACACTTTCACCTGGTTGCTGCCGTTCAGCTGTGAACATGATATATGAATAATATAAACTCTTATTGAAGATGGAAGACAAACGTGCACACACTTGGAAAAACAAACAAACAGAAAAATAGACGAAGCAGTAGAAACTTAAAGGTGTAAACATTTGAATGGCGCCTCAACAGCAGGGGCGTGTCCAGACTTTTTTAACTGGGGGGGGGCCCACCTGGGACGCTGACTTATGCAGGGCTGGCCTGACGTTTGTGGGCACACGCCCTTTCTATCCCCACTAATGATCTGTACATGTAACAAACACAATTTGCCAAAAAATAAAAGTTCTTAGTTCGATTCTTTCGGAACTGAAAAACAAAGATGTGAAAAGTCACAAGTTTAAGTACTTAAGTGCATTCAAACGCTGTCTAAATCTAGAAAAATACATTAATTGGCCATTTGGGGCGGCACATGGCGTGGCAAATCAGACTTCAAGGGGGGTCCATGCCATCCCTGGTCACCCATCTGGACACGCCCCTGCTCAACAGTCACCGGTGTTAGGGTTACCAAAGCCAACGATCCTGAACACCTTCATATCTGCACCCATGGAGAACACTAAACATCAGAATGTTAGTAACCTGCAGCGAGGTGATACTACCACCTGACATCCCTGATGCAGCCTCCACCATCAGACTGTGTCCTACCCACAACCCCCTCCCCCCCACTCAGCGGGGAGGAAGTGTGGAACAGGAACGAGAGGAATACAAAGGAGAAATCCTTCCTGCATATTATCGCATATACTCTTTAGTAAAGTGTCTCCAGATAACACTTGTTATGAACTGGTGCTTTACAAATAATGATTGATTGATTGATTTGATTTGATTGATTAACGAATGTTCATGGATTCATTGATTTTTCAACCATCTCAGAGTAATTCTTCTTTTAGGTCTGTGAGGATGTAATACATATGTGTAAGAGACCTCACAGCAGCAGAGTTATATTTGGATTGGAGCCAAGTGTCTGTCTGTTGTGAGCTGAAAAGGAAATGTGACTCTGAGACTGAAGAAATGTATATGTGTGACATTTACACGTGAAGGTAATGTCTTCTCTCTAAACTATTAGAAGTGTAACCACATGGAGAGGAGTTTATAGGCTGTACCTTCAAACAGAATATCAGCAACACTGTTAACATGAAAACTTTATCAGCCATGTGAGTGCTGTTGTCTGACCACGGCTGAATCAATTTTAAGATGATCCACAGTCTGTTTCATGATTTCCATTCAACATTTACATCTTCACAGTGTTTGATGATTTTCTGTTAGAAGGTACAGCCCACAAACTCTTGGATGTCCACTTTGATATATCTCTACAAGTCTAGAAAGAAGACATCACCTTGACTCGTAAATATCAGACATATACATTTCTTCAGTCTCAGAGTCACATTTCCTTTTCTGCTCACAACAGACACTTCAATCCAAATATAACTCTGCTGCTATGAGGTCTCTAACACATATGTATTACAGCTTCACAAACCTAAAAGAAGAATTACTCTGAGATGGTTGACACAATTTAAAGCTATATCCACAAAATGATCAAGATGAATGAATCCATGGAAATACAGTTTGTCCACTTCAAATGTAACATCTCTCTTTGCTTGTGCATTATTGTAAAACTCACAACCACCATTTGAGAAAACAAAAGATAAAAGTTACAAATCATTGTGCCACAACAACCTGGACTAGCGTCACTACAGAGGTGAATATTCAAACCCAAGTGTGATTAAGCTCAGCTTTTAAAACATTAAAGATTCAGCGTTAACCATCATGTATTTTGTTTCAATCATTTAAATGGTATAAGAAGTGTTGTAGGCAAGACCACACTAACAAAGACCAAGACATACTCGAGACCAGAGTGCTCCAAGACCGAGACAAGACCAAGACCAGAAATATCTCTGAAAAGTCATCAGGCTGAGGCCATAACCAGGGGACAAAAATCAAACTACAGATGAATTCATATGTTGTTTTGGGATATTTTTCTTCTTTTTTTCTTCTGTGATGAACTCTCAGAGCCGACCATGTGACCTGCTGTACTCACTGAGCTGGAGGTTTGATTGGCTGGGTCGCAGGCCAATGAGACCAGGTCTTTGAGGGGATCCTGGGCCAGGTGAGGGGGATAGCGGATTGCTCCATGGGGGAAGTAGGAGGAGGACGGGAAATGAAGAGATGAGGAGGGGTGGGGACTCCGAGACAGACCTGGTCAGAGGGCGAGAGGAAAAGAAAGGACACGTCAATGACCTTCTTTTGTTCCCTTTAAGTTCTGCTGAATCAATCATATGAATGTGTTGATGCTGACCACTGTGAACAGCTATGACCGGCCGGTGGTGCTGAGTGAAAGAGCCCATCCTGGGTGAGTCTTCTTGAGGTGAGGGACTGTCCATCTCTGTTTTCTTTACAGGTGGAGACAGACCTAACACACACACACACACACACACACACACACACACACACACACACACACACACACACACACACACACACACACACACACACACACACACACACACACACACACACAGCTAAATAAAAGAAGATGAAAGCACAGGACGAGGTGCTGGAACATTTTAACTATTCATGGTGCATCCACTAGACGGGAAATACTACTGTAACAACAACAATATGTGTACCTCTGTATCCAAACATGGAAATATAGCAGAAAAACAAAGAAGAGAAACAAAATATGGGAGATAACTACAGACTGTAAATATTCATGAACTGGAGCTGAGGCGGGTTTTAAACCTCCTGACAAACCGTTACACCGCGCCCACCTGTCAATCAGGTCATCTACACGCCTAACTAATACAGTTTTTTCCAATTGCTTACACACTAAAATGACATGCATATCACAATTATTTAAACTGACACACAGAGAGCAAAACCTCTTCTCAAGTCTCCAAAAGACACTACGTGAGCTAATTGGCCAATGTATGTGGCACCTGGCCAAACACCTCAATGGTTAATTGTTATCACTTCAGTCAGGAAGTAAGCACTACGAAAAGACCACAGGTGAGCTCCTTTTTTTTTACAACAACACTGGAAGACTTTGCAGAGAGAGGAAGAGGAGGAGGGAGGGTGAGAATGAGAGGGGGAGGAAGAGGAAGAGTGAGATGTAGGGGTAGAGCTGGTAGAGTAGTTCATGGCCAAAGAAGAAAACAACTTTCAAATGAAATCAGAGCAACCTTAGTTGATCATGTCATCAACCATGGGCTGACAATGCGAGAGGCTGAACAGAGAGTGCAGCCCAACTTGAGCCGTTTTACTGTACTGGTATATGTAGTACTGACTTGTTTGGTGAAAAATTAAAATATAAATGTTTTAACAGCATGTAAGTGTATCTGCAAATATTTCTGTGCATGTGAACAATCTGAAGAATTTTCTACAATTCGAACTATTTTACTATTATGACAAAGCATACTAAAGATGAGAGTGCTTTTCATTATGACCAACAGTGTGTGGTTGGTCAGACAAACATTTGGTAATATGAATGAAGTGTTTGCCATTTGGTGTAAAAGTTTAATTTTGATAATGCTATATGTAATTTTGGTTGCAGTGCTTCATTTTGCAGGATATATGAGGTATTTTGCAGTTTGGGTGTGTGGTTTTGTGAATTGTGTTAAGTATTTTGATAAAACCAGCCTAGTTTGCAAAATTGTGTTTTAGTTAGTGTAATAGCACATATCATTTTAAACTCAAAATGGAGCCGTTTAAAAAAAATCTCCCCCTGTGCAGTGTGTTCTAGAGATGACAATAACTAATCAGACCTATTTCATTTTTTGTACAAGGATGTAAACATGTTAATTTATACTGTAAAAACAGCTGTTTTGCCAGTATGTGACTTCCTGTGTTCCTGGAGCCAGCTTCTAGTGGATACTCGATGAACTGCAGGATTTAGCACTTTGGCATTGGCTTCATTTTTCAAGACCAGAGAGATTACTGAAGGGCGTTGCATTATTTTGAAATATTACTACATTACAAAATAAGAGAGTATATAAAACACTTAAAAACAAAACATCCTTCATGAAAGTTAGAAACCTTCAACCTTCAATACACCACTGTGTGCAGAAATCCAAACAGCAGTCCATTCCTTTAAAAATCATCAGCAGAGAAGGTGTATCTAAGGTGTTTCTGATGGTGACTTGAACCTCTACCATCAGTGTGTGAATGTGTGATGAGTGATCACTTTAAGTCTCTTTGTTGTTACTGTTCATTTTTACCTCCTTCCATGTCATCAGTCCAGTTCCTGGAGCTGCTGGCAGGAGAGGACGGTGAGTGGTAATACTCCCCTCCTGGACTGTCGGCCTCTTCCTCCATAGAGCCAGACTTGTGACGCTTACTCCTGCAGACACACACACACACACACACACACACACACACACACACACACACACACACACACACACACACACACACACACACACACACAGTGCAATGTTCATGAGGTGAACTTAAAAGGATTCACAATAGCACCATTTTTATTTCAGATATTTCAGATTGTATTGTTCAGATTGATGGCAGTAAAACCACCTTGCATACATGTAGTTTGTGTGTGTGTGTGTGTGTGTGTGTGTGTGTGTGTGTGTGTGTGTGTGTGTGTGTGTGCTTACCCGCTGGATGAGGTGCTGGCCAATGATCGTCTGAGGCTTAATGGCTGGTTGACAGACTGGTTAAGGTCGTATGCCAGATGACCCTGGAGCTCCCCCATGGAGAAACTGGGTCCCACTCCGGTGACTACAGGAGCTGCACACACAACAACAACACATCGTGGTCGTGACCTACACATTGAACATTGAGCCTCAGTTTCCCTTTACTGCCCAAAAGCACATTAAGCTAATCAGATATCCAAACGATCCGGGTTGAAGTCACAATATCAGATCAATAAAGTGTGACACAAAACATCCGCCCATTATCTATTAACCTGTTCAGGGTCCTAAACTTTCTGTATACTTTCAATCAATCCATTAACAGCCAATCAGGATGTAGAACAGTTTCAGTTCAGAGCAGATACCACATGGCTGAATATTTAACTTTAAAATGCTTTATTTTGACTGTCCCACAGATTTCATATTGAACATTAATCTTCCATTAGTTAAAGGGAGCTCAGTGGGTTTTATAAAGGATTGCACAAGGACACATCAGTCATGTGGCCGCCCTGGGATAAGTTACCTCTGATGGTCACTTTACATACAATGCGCTATACAAGCTCAAGTCCATTTACCATATACATCAAATGTTTACATTTAAATTCTTTGAATATGCCGTACAGCTTTGAATTGTCCTTGCATAATATTTTTCAGTCTAAGGCCACCACTGTGATCCCACGTGTAACTCCAGCTCAATCAAACTGATGTTAGACAAGCTGAATAATAAACTTTAAGTAGTAGACTTACTTCTTGAGACCTGGACCAGCTCAGTGACACTGAAAACTCCTGATGTCACAAAACTGTCCTGGAACTCTGGACCATCTGCAGAAAGATGACAGCAAGGAGACACGAATAAGGTCTATGTGTGTGTGAGCATATATATCCTCTTTTCACTTGTTCACTCTTTTGCAGGAATAAGGGAAACTGCTATTCAATATAGATCTGCTTCCGGCGCTGTGTGAAGTGGCCGCCGGTTGCAGCAGCTCTCGTTGTCCGTGTTGTTATATCGTATTTTTTGATTAGTTATTATTTGTTTTTACTGTGTTTTTTGAGTATTAGTTTAAATCTATTGTGTGGTAATGGCTACTTTCGCTCTTGGAACTTTTTGCGCTGTTTTTCTGTTACTTTGGACATTCTGGAGAGCAGCGCACAGCTGAGTGAGGGCATTGTTTACACACGTGATCAGCTGATGGCGCTCTCCAAGGTGCTACTGCCCGGAGCAAGGCCTGTAATTCCGGGGGAGCTGAGGAGGCGACGCCGGGGTTGCAGAGCTGGAGCTAAGAGAAGAGCTAAGAAGAGAAAACATAAGCCTTCTGTACCAGCGGTGATTATGGGGAACGTGAGGTCTTTGGGCAATAAGACGGACGAACTCGGCGCACTTGTTCGGCACCAGTGGGAATACCGCCAGTGCAGTATTATGTGCTTCACAAAGACATGGCTGCACTCGGACATCCCGGACCACAGCGTGGCGGTACCCAGCTTCAGGACTTTTCGGGCGGACAGGGACGTTATTAAGAGCGGGAAGAAGAAAGGTGGAGGGATTGCACTGTATGTGAGTGAGAGATGGTGTAATCCTGGCCATGTTAGTGTGAAGGAACGTCTCTGCAGCCCGGACATTGAACTGTTAGCTGTTGGAATGCGCCCATATTACCTGTCCAGGGAATTCATGTACGCCATTGTTATAGCTGTTTACATCCCACCGTCAGCTGATGCCGAGTCTGCGAGTGATGCCATTCACTCTACTGTTTCACAGCTTCAAACTAAGCATCCAAATGCTTTTGTAGCCATTACCGGGGACTTTAATTATGTAAAAATGGACAAAACACTACCCACTTTTCAACAATATGTTAACTGTCCAACTAGAGAAAATAAAACACTGGACCTTCTGTATGCTAACGTTAAGGAAGCATACAGTACCACTGCCCTTTCCCCCCCTGGGCAGATCAGAGCACAACCTGGTCCTACTGACACCAGAGTATATCCCCCTGGTCCAAAGACAGCCTGACCACAAGGACCGTTAGGAGGTGGACACAGGAGAGCAATGAGGCACTGCAGGACTGCTTTGAGTCCACAGACTGGAATGTACTCTGCGAGCCACATGGTGAGGACATTAACAGCATGACTGACTGCATCACAGAATACATTAAATTCTGTGAAAACACTGCTTTACCGGCCCGGATTGTACGTTGTTTTCCTAACAACAAACCCTGGATTACCAGTGACCTGAAAGCCCTTCTCAACAAAAAGAAACAAGCCTTCAGGTCTGGAAACAGGGAGGAGCTGAGGAGGATACAGCACGATCTGAGGGAAAAGCTGAGGGAGTGCAAGGACTCATACAGGAGAAAAACTGGAGGCCAAACTCCATCAGAACAACGTGAGGGATGTGTGGACTGGAATGAGGGAAATCACTGGTTTCAAAGGAAGAGAAAGACAACATTCTGGCAGCCTGGAGAGGGCGAATGAGCTAAACCTGTTCTTCAACAGGTTTAGTGCACAGCCTTCATCTGCCTCTCCCATCTCAAACAACACCCCTGTACTTCACACCTCCCTGTCTCCCTCTGTATTTTCTCCCTCCCCCCCAACCCACCTCAAACAACACCCCTGTACTTCACACCTTACAGCCTCCCTTTGTATTTTCTCCCTCCCCCCCCAACCCCCCTTGGTGAACTCTTTGGACTCTGGCCCCGCACCACAGGAATGCACTCCCCCCTCTGAGGTGAATTGCTCCATCCCCACCCCCTGACTCTAACAACTGGCCAGGTGAAGAGACAGCTGGAGAAACTACACATTAGCAAGGCTCCAGGCCCCGACGGCATCAGCCCAAGGGTTCTGAAGACCTGCACCAGCCTGCTGTCTGAGATTCTGCAACACCTCTTCAACCTGAGTCTGAGCCAGGAGAGGATACCGGTGCTGTGGAAAACGTCCTGCTTGGTCCCGGTCCCAAAGAAGACGACACCATCTGATCTCAAGGACTGTCGACCAGTGGCTCTCACATCTCATGTGATGAAAGTGTTGGAGAGGCTCGTCTTGACCCACCTCAGGCCGCAGGTGAAACCATCCCTTGACCCGCTACAATTTGCCTACCAGCCACATCTGGGAGTGGACGATGCCATCATCTACCTGCTGCAACCTGCTTGATTTCTCCAGTGCATTCAACACCATCCAGCCACAACTGCTGGAAGAGAAGCTGCAGTTGATGGGTGTGGACTCGTCCATCACCTCCTGGATTACTGACTACCTGACAGACAGACCACAGTTTGTCCAACTTGGCAGTGTTCAGTCTGGAATGGTGGAGAGCAGTACAGGAGCTCCACAGGGTACTGTGCTGTCTCCTTTCCTTTTCACCTGACTCCAGGTCATGCCAGTGTTGTATAAGTGATGGGCAAGAGGGGGGAGTACAGAGAGCTGGTGGATAACTTTGTGGAGTGGACAGGAAGAAATCACCTGATTCTGAACTTGGATAAGACCAGGGAGATGGTGATTGACTTCAGAAGGAAGAGGACAGAGCCACCACCGCTGTGCATCCTGGGAGAGGACGTGTCTGTGGTGGAGGAGTACAAGTACCTGGGTGTCAACATAGACAACAAACTGAACTGGAAGGCCAACACTCAGGCTGTGTACAAGAAGGGGATGAGCCGACTCTACTTTCTGAGGAAGTTGAGATCCTTCAACGTGTGCAGCAAGATGTTGGAGATGTTTTATCAGTCTGTTGTGGCCAGTGCACTGTTCTCTGCTGTGGTCTGCTGGGGGAGCAGCATTGGCGCTGGTGACACTAAGAGACTGGACAAACTCATTAAGAAGGCCTGCTGTGATAGGCTGCAAGCTGGACTCTTTTGTAGTGGTGACAGAGAGGAGGACTCTTAACAAACTGTTATCCATTATGGATAATCCTGATCACCCTCTGCACACCCTACTGGACAAACAGCGGAGCAGCTTATCCAACAGACTGATACAACTCCGCTGTCACAAGGACAGATACAAGAAATCTTTCTTACCGAAGGCCATAACTCTGTACAACAGCTCACCTCATGCGAGCAGAGAACTGTCATCATGATAATATCTGTCTCTCCATACTGTAATCTGTTCTGCACATGTTAAATTTACAAATTATCCCTGCACTCATGTTCACTTCATTTGGCTGTCTACTCGCCATTATATTGTATAGTTTCTGCTTATAATATGTCTACACTCCTGCACTTTAACTTATGTCAATACTGTCCATTTACTACTCTATTTTTGCACATTTACATTTAATCTTTCATATTTAATTTACAACCATTTATGACTCTGTTTTTGCACATTTACATTTAAACTTTCATATTTAATTTATAACCATCTACGACTCTGGTTTTGCACATTTACATTCAATCTTCCCTATTTAATCTTCCTATTTAAGACTAGTAATGCTTAGTGAAATCCTGGTTGTATATATTCACATTCTTATTTTTTATATCTTTTAGTACTTATTTACTTTGTAGTTAATATTATATTGTGTTTAGATTGCTAACATTGTGTTTTTTACTCATATTGTGTGTTGGATAACCTGCTGCTGTAACACCACAATTTCCCAGTTTGGGATTAATAAAGTAATTCTATTCTATTCTATTCTATTCTATTCATTGGACCCCTATACCCACATTCCTAGTGTTGTGGTACTCGAGACCACTTTTTGAAGGTCTAGGTCTTGTCTTGGTCTCAGACTGGGCGGACTCTGGATTTTAAAACAAGACCGGTGTTAGGGTCTAAGCGAGTGACACGCCCACTGCACAACATGATGATTTTTCAGATATATTATCAGAACAAGACATGCAATGCCACAGATACAAGAAAAATGTTTTCTGCTTTTAACTCACTGCTTCAACCACCTCCTCCTCCACCCTCCGATCTGTTCACACCAGACATGTTTGCCTCGTATTTTACTGAAAAGGTTGCAACAATCAGTAACCAGTTTTCTGAGCCTGACCAACTCAGCCCAACAGCACCAACCAAAAGTGCCTCACTCGACTCATTCTCCTCTCTGACTGAGGATGAAATCTTTAATAGTAGAGGAACTTGGGCCCCTAAAAGTTGAGAGACCCCTACTCGAGGTAGAACAAAGCACGACCATATTTTTCATAACTTGAACATGTCTAAGTTTATGAAACGGATGGTTGTATAAAAATATTTTACTGCAAAATAACTTTATTTGGATGTTTTTTACATCTTACCAAAAAACGAAAATAGGTCAAATTAGGGCTTCTCCAAAAGGGACAGCTCTAGCCTTATCACATGTATCTCTGGGAATCAGAATTTCACCAAATTTGGACAGGATGTTCACAGATAGTTATTAGTTACATTTAAGCAAAGTTTTTATCAATACCATTTTCATGGTATTGAGAAGTGTTTATAAGAAGTTTCTTACATTTCACTGCACATCTGTATGAGCATGTGACAAATAAAAAAAATCTTGAATCTTATAAACATGTCTGCATGATTATTATCCTAATTCATCTCACACACATTTACGCCATCATACTTAGGATATTATAAAAACTATCCCTTCATCCAGTGTATCCTCTGGAGTAACTAGGGTTCATCTTAAAAGCAGGAGATATGGTGACTACTCACCATCTTTATATGACTGAAATACATAAAAAAAACTACAACAGGCTTTATGGCCGATATACAAATAGACTATATGAAGTATGTTTAATTTCTAAGAACTCAAGGTTATATAAATCAATACTGTTTTTTAGTTCATTAATATTTCACAACCGATGAGATATATATATATATATATATATATATATATATATATATTTATTTATTTATTACAGAATACAATTATATTGTGGCTTGTTGTTAAGTCTTAATCTATTGTTTGTGGCCACCTCCTCCTACATACACATCCATAGGGCCCCATTGTACCAGGTCGCCCTGAAATCCTGGCTGCATTAGTTTCCTGTTAGGGGCTGGTGACAGCATAGGGTCAAGTGAAAAGTCAAATAACTTACTTTTATGTTAAGATAACAGTCTGAAGAAGATAAAAATGACATATTTTAATGTTTGGTGTCCTTACTTAAAAAATGACAGACTTTGATATACATAACTTTTGAATTTTTGTTTCGATTTTCAATTTCCGCCTAAACTACATGTGTGTTTAAGTGTGAAAAATTCAAAAATTGAAAATGGTATTGATAAAAATGAAATGTAAGAAACTTCTTGTACACACTTCTCAATACCATGAATATGGTATTAATAAAAACTTTGCTTAAATTTAACTAATAACTATCTGTGAACATCCTGTCCAAATTTGGTGAAATTCTTATTCTGATTCCCAGAGATACATGTGATAAGGCTAGAGCTGTCCCTTCCGGAGAAGCCCTAATTTGACCTATTTTCGTTTTTTTGGTAAGATGCATAAAACATCCAAAAAAAGTTATTTTGCAGTAAAATATTTTTATACAACCATCCGTTTCATAAACTAGACATGTTCAAGTTATGAAAAAATATGGTCGTGCTTTGTTCAACCTCGGGCAGGGGTATCTCGAAAACTAAAGCCTTTTTTGGGGGTTTGTTCCTCTACTATAAACTTGTGCTAGACTCTCGGCCCACCACCTGTCCTCTGGACCCAATACCATGAAGCCTCCTGCAGACCATTTCCTCTCCACTTAATGCTGCACTTAAGCATATCATCAACTCCTCTCTGTCAACGGGTGTGTTCCCCACCGCATTCAAGCAAGCTCGGGTCACCCCTCTGCTCAAAAAACCCACACTAAACCCAGCCCAGGTTGAAAACTACAGACTGGTTTCTCTTCTGCCCTTTCTGTCAAAAATACTTGAGCGCACAGTCTTTAAGCAAGTTTCTGAGTTCCTGTCCAGAAACGATCTGTTTGACCCAAATCAGTCAGGCTTTAAGCGGGGCCACTCTACTGAAATTGCACTACTGTCAGTAACAGAATCGCTACGAGCTGCCAGAGTTGCGGGTCAGTTCTCAGTTCTATTACCGCTAGACCTGTCTGCTGCCTTTGACACAGTCAACCATCAAATCCTCCTATCCATGCTCTCCGAACTTGGCATCTCAGGATCTGCCCTCTGCTGGTTCGTGTCCTACCACTCTGGGCGATCCTTTAGAGTGTCGTGGAAGGGAGAAGTGTACAAAGCGCACAGCTTATCCACAGGGGTACCTCAAGGGTCAGTGCTTGGTCCCCTTCTCTTCTCTATATACACAAGCTCACTTGGTTCAATAATCCGCTCTCATGGCTTCTCATACCACTGCTATGCTGTCGATACCCAGCTCTTCCTGTCATTCCCGCCAGACGATGTTACAGTCTCTGCAAGAATCTCATCATGCTTTGCTGATATCTCTAAATGGATGAATGAACCTTCAACTAAATCTTTCAAAGACTGAGCTCCTTGTCATCCCAACCAGTCCCTCTATGCAACCACAGATCAATATCCAGCTTGGAACAACCAAACGCATGCCCACAAAGTCTGCCCGGAACCTGGCTGTCATGATTGATGACCAGCTAACTTTTAAGGTTCAAGTAGCCTCGATTGCCCGGTCATGTCTATTTGCCCTGTACAACATCAGTAAGATCAGACCTTACCTGTCAGAACACGCTACACAGCTCCTGGTACAGGCTCTTGTGATATCACGCATCAATTATTGCAACTCTCTACTGGCAGGTCTTCCTACATGCACTATCAAACCTCTGCAAATGATACAAAATGCAGCAGCACGACTGGTCTTCAACCTTCCTAAAAGAGCACATGTCACTCCGCTGTTCATCTCCTTACACTGGCTCCCAGTTACTGCTTGAAATCAAATTTAAAACTCTGCTGCTTGCTTACAAAACAGCGACAAAAACGGCTCCTCCTTACTTTAACTCTGTCATCCAGGTCTACACTCCCTCCCGCTCACTACGCTCTGCCAATGAAAGGCGTCTGATCCAACCTTCACAACAGGGTCCTAAGTCTCTGACTAGACTCTTCACCTCTGTTGCCCCCCGGTGGTGGAATGAACTTCCAATCTCCATTCGATCTGCAGAGTGCCTCTGCACCTTTAAGAAAAAGCTAAAGACCCAGCTCTTTCATGAATACCTACTAACTTAATGATGATGGTTTCGATATCATTGATGATGATGATGGTTGTGACGATTGTTTTTGTTTGATAACGATGACTTATAAGATGGTTTCTATACTGATTAGAGCTCTCAAGAACTGCCTTCAATGTTGTGCTTTGCCTCTGTGCAATGCCTGTCAGCACCTGTGTGTCCAATCGGACTCAAAGCTGATCGTTTGCTCTTACTGACATTGTTCCCTTTTTTCTAGATCTTTGCTTGTGTTGTTCTTACTCTCTACTGCATCACTATTCTTCTAATTAAGAAACAGAAGAAGGTATCCACTATCCCATATTTTCTATTTTTACAAGGAGGACCATCAATCTATTATCTTTACTGCTTTCTGAGCCTTCTGAGCCTCTTCACTCAAAAAAACATTGTTTAAAATAAGGGAACATTTGAATTTGATGTAAATAACCATTTATCACAACATAACAGACAGTGAGTAACAAATAATAACAAATCATGGATGTGCTCATCCTACAGAAGAAGTTATTACAAACATAGATGGAGAAAGAAAAGTGAATGTTCCCATGTTTAACAGAAACTCCTTTACGTTACCCATGGTGGCCGTTCGACTGTCCTCCTGATCAGAGCCCAGTCCTGTTCGACTGGGACTACTGATGCTCTGCTCGGCCTCTATGGAGAGAGAGAGACAGAGAGAGAGAAACAGAGAGAGAGGGAGAGAGAGATAGGGAGAGAGGGAGAGGGAGAGGGAGAGAGAGAGATAGAGAGAGAGAGAGAGAGAGGGAGAGAGAGAGAGAGAGAGAGAGAGAGAAATTCAAACAATTAATAAGTCTGTTGAAAAACACAGAAGCAGCAAAACATCAGGCCAGATTTTAAAATCTGTACTGATGGCGTGACACGCCACTGAAGAAAATACTTTCCCTGATGAATGGATTGAGAGGTCGTGGCGGTTTGTTTCTGTGTGATCTGATTGGTTACAGATGCCATCACATGTACATGCTGAGTTCAGGTGATTGCTAATTGAGTGTGCTGTTTTAGTGGCGGTTTTTAGAGGGTACTTATTTATTTTTAAAAATGGAATCTCCTGGAGGTTCCTTCCTGCTACCTCAATGTTTTACATATTTTGTGCCAGCAGAGGGCAGGCCCCAGTACAACATTTTGCTACTGTTACAGTAATAATGGTCTCACTGGTTTCTCAAAGGAACAGCCATCAATAATATCAAGGGTTTTCTGATGTGTATTTCCTGTAATGATATTTGCTTTTTGAAAAGACGTGTAGGTCTCCACAAGAACGATGTGAGTGTAAAACAACCAGCATGTAAAACAAGTCGTCTCACCACTAGCACAGCAGGAAACTCAGATCTATAGGCACAGAAGATTATGTGCACTTTGTGTTATTTATGCAGGTTCAGAGCTGCACAGGAGTTCAGGGATTGTCCTAGATATCTTTTTCTACACAGAACCATCAATACAACTTTTTACAGGAGGGTCTTATATCATATATGACAATATTTCATTACACTCTAGACTTTTGAGTTGTAGCTGCACAAGGCTGCAAGTCTACTCTGCTTCTTCCCATTTGATTCACAAGACTCACTTTATTTTTGTCAAATATAGAGTAAATGCTAAATGGACTTGAGATTTCTGTTCTAGTCTTCTGACTACTCAAAGTGCTTTTACACCGCAGGTCACACCTACACATTCACACACTGATGGTAGAGGCTGCTGTGTAAAGAGTCCATCAGTATTAACTCATCCATTCATACACATTCACACACTGATGGTAGAGGCTGCTGAGTAAAGAGTCCATCAGTATTAACTCATCCATTCATACACATTCACACACTGATGGTAGAGGCTGCTGAGTGAAGAGTCCATCAGTATTAACTCATCCATTCATATATATTCACACACTGATGGTAGAGGCTGCTGAGTAAAGAGTCCATCAGTATTAACTCATCCATTCATACACACTCATACAAAGCAGCAGGAGCAGTATGTTCACAATAGCTAAAGTTCTAAAAAAGTGTCTGTTTTCATGTACTGCCGCTCCATGCACCGGCTCGCTTCTGACTCTCTCTCTAAGGCTCTGAAGTGCCTACGTTCAGAGTCCCAACGCGTGCCAAGTCTGATCTGATTGGTCGGCCTGTCGGCTCTGTCGTGATTGGTCAGTCGCTCAGCACGGTTCTCGGAAATGTCACGCCCCTTTTACCATATTGGGAATGCAGCCACTTTGTCTCCAAGGGTAGCATAAACATTAGCACCTTAGCTACCGCAGGCTACGGCATATCGTTGGCGTGCTACAGAAGTTAATGGGCGTGCAACATGAGCTGCTGGGCTTGCCACAACGAGCCAATGGGCTTAGACCAGTGATATCACACTGACAAGACGTCACACTGGCAAATTTTTTTCGAGGGGGGCTAGAACCGAGCGTTACATGCATTTTTGCACACAGATGTGCCTAAACATGCACAGGACATTTGGAAAACACGCTAAAGAGCATATAAAACCAGAAAAAACATAATATGGCCCCTTTAAATAGATATCCCTTTAGTACATTTATGAATCAAATTCAAAGAGCCTCACAACAAGCATGGGATTAGTTACTTCTGATGGACAAGTCTATTTACCATCAGCTACATACTGGAAACTCTGTTAATATCACTGGTAGTGGAATTGAAGCTATGGAAATGTAAAGATTGAATGAACAGAAACTGTGAACACAACATCCTGATGTAATTTATCTGTATTGAAGTTTCACTTGGATTTCCCGTCTCCATTCACAAAGGAATAATGAGAATAAAACACACCGATGTTACAATGAGATGGACTGAAGTGTGTGCTGGCACATACCTCTCTCTTGTACATAGTAAGCAAGGTAGAGGTCCAGCTCCTTAACGGAGACAGAGATGTGTCGAGGCTGAACGCAGAGTATTGGATTGGAGCACTGGCCTCCCTTCATCAGCCGCTCTCCATCTGTGCTTTCTAACGGGATTCCTTTGAACAGAATCACCATCACCAGGTCCAACCTCCACACCTTGGGAAGGACGAGACTCAATCATTAATGAACCCAATCTAACTGATATATATCTAACGTTTCTTAGCCTAAGCACTGATTTCCTTAAAGGAGCAGTATGTAACTCTGACCCCTAGTGTTTAAAATGGGTACTGCAGTCTAAATTCTAAACATTACAGAGAGCTGTCTCTCCCCCCCCCCCCTCCTCTCTAGAGTTGATGCTCACGCAGGTTACCATGTGGTGGACTCTGAAGCTTCAGTGTTTATCCAGCTCTGCATGGGTCTGTAAACCTTTCTGTGTTCTAACCTCTCTCCATTTTTCAAAAGCATCTCCAATATTGATCCTAGTTTGAGCACGTTTCTGCTCGTGGAGCTTATTAGAAACATGCAGAGGCTTTTTAGGTCGTGTACAATCACTTCTATCTGAACCACTTCTCTTGCCCGCTTCCATCGCTGCAACACCTGTTGGTTTGACCTGATAACTGCTCTCATATCTGACAAACCGAGGGGCGTCCAAAACGGCCGTGTGGGGGGGGGGGGTTGCCTTAAAACCGCCTGCCTTCTCTGGTCCAAACAAAACCAGAATCTAAAGTTAGAAGGAGGACATACTGGCTGCTGCATTGTTGTCAGAGAAGCCAGCACTTCACCATAGCATGTTTCCTTAATGATCATATAGTAAGGTCAGTTATAGCAATCATGTTCAGTGTCCTCTCCATACACCTGTCTTTCTACTTTTAAAACACATGACATAAAAACATCTTGTTGATCAAATTGTGCCAATCTGAATGTTAAAATTATTCAATTTATTTGAACTTTCAATTTCACAATAGAACTGCAACACAGGGGGGCGCAGGTAGTCTATTGGTGAGTGCGCGCCCCATGTGTGGAGGCTGGAGTCCACAAAGCGGACGGCTTGTCATTTCCCACTCTCTCTTTCAATGATTTCCATCTCTGTGCGCTGTCCTGCCATTTATAAAGCCATAAAAAGCCCAAAAATAAAAGAAGAACTGCAACACAGAATTTCAATCTGAGGTTTGTAAAGTGTAATTCCATCTGCATGTTCATACAACTTTGTGCTTGAAGCTAAATCACCATACTTTACTTGTCCTCCTGGATGCAGACACAACTGTAGACGTAGGGGAAATGACCATGATGAGTATAGTTCACCTTGTCAGCTTGTCGCAGACAGTCTATGCGTCTCATTTTGCCTTTTTGGTCAGGGTTCGACAGGACACAGCACGCAGCTTTCTTCCCGGTGATTGACAGGACAAAGTCTTCCCTGAATTCTGGTCTTATGTCCTTTCTTAGCTTGGCCAAGAGACGACTAGCCCACTTCTGTTTCACCTGCATAAAGAATCACATCATTGAGTTCTTTGTTTCTATAAATATACATGGTATTGTACTGTATAGAGTAAGAAACACAGCGGTTTGTTTACATATAAAGCGTCCTGATTTGAAGTATCATAAGTTAATCATTCCTAAATCAGAGTGAAGTATTCATCTCACCTCTGCCTTCTCTCCCAGCAGTTCATCTTTGACCGCTCTCTCTTCTTCTTTAGTCATCCTTTTCTCATGTTTCTTAAAGTACTTCCTTTTCCTGGCTTGGAGGTTGAACCATGTGTAGGCGAAGGCACGGACTTGGGGTAGCAGCGCTTCAATGAACGGATGAAACTCGTCCTAAAAAAACAAGCAGACAGAGAAACATTAATACAAACTCGGAGAAAACACACAAGTGGCGCCGGTCGCCTAGTGGTTAGTGCTTGCGCCCCGTGTACTGACGCTTAAGTCTCAGAGAGCTGGGGGCCTAGGTTCAAATCCGACCTGCGGCTTCATTCCGGCATTGTTTCCCACTTTCTCTCTCCCCGCTTTCTGACTCTACCCACTGACTTATCTCTGGAAGAAATTCATAAACTCCAACAAATCAATTATCAGTTTGTTAACCAACTTCAACAAGGAGCTATAAGGCTGGCTCTTTCAGACATTTACTCCTATGTGCTTGTTCGCTCTGCAGCATCAAGTGTTACAACAACATGGCTAACCATCAACCTTGCTAACGTTAGCTCTTTGGAAGCTAACAGTTAACAAGTCTCGGTCCTATTAAATAAATGCAATGCAGAATGATGATAGTGACAGACGACCATGACCATTCGTTGAATGTCAGTAGAGTTTTCTTTGTTGTTGTTTCTCTTGTCGAGGTTGTTGAGAGAGAAGCTATTCATGTTTGTGTTTTGTTTCCTGACATGTCTTAAACATGTGAGACGTTTTACCCTTTAAATAAGTGTAAATGGACTTGAGCTTGTATATTTCTGTTCTAGTTTTCTAACTACTCAAAGCGCTTTTACACCGCAGGTCACACCTACACATTCACACAGATGGTAGAGGCTGCTGTGTAAAGAGTCCATCAGTATTAACTCATCCATTCATACACATTCACACACTGATGGTAGAGGCTGCTAAGTAAAGAGTCCATCAGTATTAAGTCATCCATTCATACACATTCATACACCGCAGCAGGAGCAACTTCGGGTTAAGTGTCTTGCCCAAGGACACATCAGACACACCTGTAGCTGCAGGAGCTGGGGATTGAACCCCCGACCTTGTCAGACGACCGACTCTACCAACTGAGCCAGAGTGAGAGTGTAGACCAAGACAAAGATCCATCAATTCTGAAATGTGTTCAAGATTCAACAACTAATTGTTTTGGAAGCTTTAACTTCTTGTTCTTCTAATTGCTGTCTTTTCATCATTATGTTGTTTGGACCCCTTTGAAAACCAGACGCTACATCTCAAGGGGCTTATCCTGCTAAATACAACAAATAAACCCATGCACTTTATGTAAAAAGTGGACTGGATGTTACTGAATGGCTGTTTTAATCTTATGCATCATGGTTTTCTGGTTTATAAAAGATGTTGTCTGCAGAACAGGAAACATTCATCATAGCAGAGGTAAATATGAGCAGCACTAAAACACTAAATCATGACAGCAGTATGAGCAGTAAAAGTGACAACAATAGGACAGGCTGAGGAAGCGTTACTAAGTATTTCCATCAAGAGGAACATGTTAATAAAGATATTACTGCCCAGCGTCTGACAGCTTTACCTGCACAACACAAATAACAAAATCTCACTTCAGTTTTTTAACACTCTCTATTCTTTATGAATGATCTGTGCTGACTAGAGATGCTAATGACCCCCGCTGTCAGGTGGGGGTTTGTTTCTATATTAAATGTTCAATGATGAAATCATGAAACAGACTGTGGATCATCTTAGGATTTATTCAGCCATGGTCAGACAACACAGAAACACACATGGCTGATAAAGTGCAGAACAAGATCTCACAATCTCTGACAATCATTGACAAAGTCTTCATCTTCACAGTGTTGATGATTTTCTGTTAGAAGGCACAACCCACAAACTCTTGTCCACTTGGATATATCTCTATAAGTCTAGAAAGAAGACATCACCTTGACTCGTAAATATCAGACATATACATTTCTTGAGTCTCAGAGTCACATTTCCTTCTCTGCTCACAACAGACACTTCAATCCAAATATAACTCTGCTGCTATGAGGTCTCTAACATATATGTATTACAGCTTCACAAACCTAAAAGAAGAATTATTCTGAGATGGTTTACACAATTTAAAGATATATCTTTAAACAAAGATATTTTTTAAGTATTTTTCTGTCATATAGGCCAACCCTTTGCCTGATCAAATGGACTTCATGTCTGCCTCACTCTCACTGCGCAGAATGAAAAGGTACGGAGAAGCTCAGTTTTACCTGACTCAGAGAGAGAGGAGGAAACATCATTTTGTTGACAGGGGATCACGATATGCCCTTTTTACATTTCCATCGCGTCCTCATTTGCTTTGCCAGTCTCCTTCGTCTTTTCCTTCTTCCTCGCTGATTCAGTAAAGCAGCTGCACCTCCGGGCAGAGAAAACGCAGCACTTCCTGGCCTATCTACAGTATGTTTTTTTTTTTTTTTTTTTAAGGAATCCAGATATGAAGGCTCTGGTCGCTTTAACTCCAAAAATGATGACACGGCAGGAAACTTCAGGACCCGGAATAATGCCCCGTGGAGAGAAAAACACGGAGAAAGTTCGGCATAATCATTCTAGGAAAATATGGCCGGAGGAGGTGTAACGCAGCACGGAGAACTGTGCCATTAGGAGAGGGACGGGGGGGGATGAAGGGGCGAAGAATAAAAGACAGAGTTGATATGACGTTATGACTTCAGCCCATCCCAAACGGCGGGCTTAAAGCCACAGCAGCTCATGTTTTCAGTTCATGTGAGGATCAGCCTCTTAAAACACACACACACACACACACACACACACACACACACACACACACCGCCGTCTGCTGCGTCCACACAAACACACTCGGTCACAGTATTTACACTTTCAATAGTGACTATAACACTAATATACAGAAAGTCTCCACAGAGCATGCTCCATCTTTGTTTTTAAATATCTATTTTCCGTGTCCGACTTTAAAAACAAAGGAAGCAGTAGGTCAACATTATTTCCACCTTAACACATTCCTACATTTCCACCGTAAGGAGGCAACAAAGATAGACTTATAACATTTATCCAAACATATATAACTCTTCTTCTGCTCTTTAAATCCTATTTGTTTCTAAAAAACTGTTTGTTAATAACTGTATAATCACAGGCTGACATGGCACAGGAGACAATTGATCATCAAGACCACCACAACAGAATAATGCAATTTTCAATAGGTTATTAGATAGAGCAGGCCTATAGTATAGTGATATACTATATTATATTACTAAACTATATTAATATACTATAGTATAGTACTTGCACATAGCTCTGTATATATTTATTTATTTCTCGTTTATTGCACATAGATCTGTTAGTCTGATCACCGTCCACTTATATCTACTCCTTTTATATTTTGTATTTTAAGTTAAGTTTAAGCTTTAAGTTGTATTTCAATTGACACTTTATATTTTAGGTTTAAAATGTTTTGTCTACCTGCACTGTTGTTAATTTACTGCTCTGTGTGCCTTTGAATTGCCCCGAGGACAAATAAAGTTTTTCTAATTTGAATTGAAGTGAATTGAATAAAGTATAGGCTATATAGAAAAGGCTATGTTTACAGTATACTGGTGTAAACAGTATGAAGGGGGGGGGCATAAGGGAAGAGCTGGATAAAGGAAAGTTAGGTTAAAACATTGGACGGGTTTATTGATAAAAGAGGATATGACTTGTAGCCTACACAAACACATGTCTGTCAGTAAGTAAGTCAAGTTTATTTGCCCTTTTTTCAGTCTTAATTCACAAAGTGTTTTACATAACACAACATGTAAACACAACATGTAAACACTGACATGATGAGCCACAGATAAAAGCATGTCAACATTAAAAACACACGTTCTATTTAGAATAAACAGTAAAGGATGCTGATGTGTTTTAAAATGATGCTCGGGATAATTACCAAATGTGTGAACAGGTGTGTTCATAACTGGGCGGCAGTAGTTCAGTCTGTAGAGACTTGGGTTGGGAACCGGAGGGTCACCAGTTCAAGTCCTGGTGCAGACCAAATATGGTAATTGGTCTGGTAGCTGGAGACATGCCAGGTCCTGAGCACTGCCGAGGTGCCCTTGAGCAAGACACTGAACCCCCTCCCCACCATCAACTCAGAAGCACCCGCTGTGGGCCACTCTGGCACTCTGGCTTCTCTCCATTAGTGCATGTCAATAGGATCCTGTTTCTGCATGTGTGTTTATATTTCAGCCTATGTGTGTGTTCATGACTCACAGAGTGTAAAAACAGAAATTTCCCCTTGCACGGATCAATAAAGTAAATCTTAACTGGTTTTAGTCATCATCATGAGATTTTATAAAGTCATGAGCAGAGCTTTCCAAAGTTTGTGAGCTAGCCTGGAAAGCTCTATCAGCTCAGCCTTAAAAGGAACAAAGAGCAACCTTTAGTGAGTGAGACCTCATGAATCACCAGATTAAAGAGTCATAATGTCAGGAATAAAGTCAACGTATATGCTGAAATGAGTTGTTTCATTACTGTCACATCAACAGCAGTCAGATTATTCAGCCTTGTGGACGAACAGCTGTGTTCAGAAATCCATTAAAGACAGTCTATCCTCAAGTTTGATCTGTCACAGATTTATCCTCTACTGTTCATGATGATGGAGGAGCAGAGTGTCCTCTGAGTGTTTCACTTAAAAACTTCTAATCAACAACAATTCGATGAGACTGAGGAAAGAGCTGCAGCTCTTCTTATCCCAGCGGCTCTCCTCCCCAGCTGCATGCCGGGACAGGAGGCCCTCTGTCGGCTTTTCACACTAAGTCAGTCGGCTGGCTCTAACTGCGGCCATTTTCTGCTGACTAACACACACACACACACACACACACACACACACATATGCCTTCACAGCACACGCACAAGAACGCGCGCGCACACACAGACAGCACGCTCGCACACACAAACACACACACACACACACACACACACACACACACACACACACACACACACACACACACACAATATAGGCAATAGGAGGCTAGAGTGAACTTCAACTTGGCCTTCTGCCGTCCCGCGTGATGAGAGCAGAGGGGCCTGCACGTTCATCTTTAAAAGACACAAACTGAACAACTTTCCCCCACAGACACCACGGCATGTTTTCCGCTTCCTTGGTGCACCGCCAGGGCTCGGAAAGCACACTGGCCACTGGGATAGAGCCCGTTCCCCGGCATGGAGGCGACATGATTCAAAACTCCATTCAGAACTGTACGGCTTTAAGGCTGACTGAATGACGTCAGACATACTGAACGTGTGAGAGGACACTTTCAATCATTGCATGCTTAATAATATGTTGACTTATTCGGCCATCATCTTTAACACAAAAAGTGCTTTAATTCAACTAAACGTCAAGTTTTATGAACGTTTCCAACTCTGACTTCCGCCCTGAACAGTGTTTTCGCCGGAAAACGTCAGTTCAGAGAACAGGTAACCCAAATGTGAAATGCATAACTACTAAAGCTGCAAGGTGTTCTGCTTATCTTATATGTGCCGAATTTAAGGCTGGCTATCGACAAATCAAAATTGTTCACAAGTAGTGTTGTACCACGTTAGTGCACTTGCTGGCATGCATGTGATTTTTACTTGTTAGATTTGTTTATGATATTTTGTGACAAATTCTCTTCATAGGCAAACGTTTTATTTCGGAATACAGTGCATGTTCGGTTGCTTTAACATAGTAAAAGAGAGACAGAGCATAGAGGCTTCATGGCATTAAGAGACATGGATGCCTCTTTCTGCTCCACTTTCAGCTGCGTGACTCCTCGCATTGCGTCTTTTTTGGAAAACACGGAACAGCACACCAACCGGAGCGGACACTTCACTACATTATTGTACCGAAACGGATTGTTTCCCTACCATATCGAAGCTGTGCCGCCACCGGGGGAAGTTAAAGCTGATCTCAGCGCCTGTCCATCTTGCGTTGTCTGGTGTTTTCATTCCATATTTATGTCCATCATCGTGCGCGTGCCAGGTGGAGTAATCCGCGGTGCTCGAGACCAGAAACGTCCCGCGTCAAGCTTCGGGCTCAACGGCAGTAACACCCCACTACACACACACACACACACACACACACACACACACACTTCACACACACACCGGCCCGGTAGGCTGCGGCAGAATAGAATAGTGCTACCTATATTTATTTTATTGTCTGCCTCCTTCTATAACTCTGTTTGAGTATTCCTGCCCATTCTAGTTCCGTTTTCTTCTGCACTTTATATTTCACCCTTTTCCTCCCCCACTCTTTCAGTTTGGCTTTGCCTCTCATCTGTCCTTACTACTCCTTACTACTTTTTAGCGTTTGCGGTGCTTTCTTTATATATGGTTAATAGCCTGCCTATACATCCCACTCCCATATATCTGGATAACCTTCATTATGAAGCCATACCGACTGAAAATAGCCCAAACAAACTAGAGGGAAAGCTCTAGATTCTGTTTGGTACTATCGCCTTTCTGAGAATTTTTCCTGTTGCAATTTTGCTGTTGTAAAGATAGAAGTTGATCTTGCAATAAATCCACAAGTAATCCCACAGTCTCACAGACAATAAGAACATTAAGAATTAGATTAAGCCTAACTAATATTATACAAACATGTTTTGTTATAATGAAGAAGTGAGGGATTTGCTGTGGCTTCTCATTTTCTTGAAGGTTGTCATTTTATGCCTCCAAATGGGAAATGGACTTGAGCTTGTAGTGCTTTTCTAGTCTTCTGACTACTCAAAGCTCTTTTACACCGCAAGTCTCACCTACACATTCACACACTGATGGTAGAGGCTGCTGTGTAAAGAGACCATCAGTATTAACTCGTCCATTCATACGCATTCACACACCGATGGTAGAGGCTGCTGTGTCAAGAGTCCATCAGTATTAACTCGTCCATTCATACGCATTCACACACCGATGGTAGAGGCTGCTGCGTAAAGAGATCATCAGTATTAACTCGTCCATTCATACGCATTCACACACCGATGGTAGAGGCTGCTGCGTAAAGAGTCCATCAGTATTAAATCGTCCATTCATACGCATTCACACACCGATGGTAGAGGCTGCTGCGTAAAGAGACCATCAGTATTAACTCGTCCATTCATACGCATTCACACACCGATGGTAGAGGCTGCTGCCTAAAGAGTCCATCACAGAGGCTGCTGAGTAAAGAGTCCATCAGTATTAACTCGTCCATTCATACGCATTCACACACCGATGGTAGAGGCTGCTGAGTAAAGAGTCCATCAGTATGAACTCATCCATTCATACGCATTCACACACCGATGGTAGAGGCTGCTGAGTAAAGAGCCCATCAGTATTAAGTCATCCATTCATACACATTCACACACCGATGGTAGAGGCTGCTGTGTAAAGAGTCCATCAGTATTAACTCATCCCACTCGTACATCGCTGAAGAAGCAGCGATAGAAACTTGGGGTTAAGTGTCTTGCCCAAAGACACATCAGACATGTAGCTGCAGGAGCTGGGGATCAAACCCCAAACCCTCCGGTTGAGAGATGACCGACTACCTGATCCACAGCCGCAGAAAAATAGAAAAATTCATGGCAAATAAATATAAATATATAAATATATTTTATCCATGTGGTTGAATAAAGAGGTTTGACT